AATAATACACGCACATACTATTCAAGGGAAATTCACGGTCCAACCAAAACTGGACGCAAGCAACCGGACCATAACCTATTGATGCATATGGTGTCAGCACGACAAAGGTCCAAAACTAGAAGAGTCGACCATGATTTCATCTGGGCACGCACACCAATGTGTGGCGTTTGATTATATCGAATTCTTTCACGTTTCACTCTAAAAAAAAAATGAAATTCAAAAGGAGGGATAGAATTCATGGAGGACAGGAGCTTGGGCAACCGACCAATTGATATTGTCCACAATTGTTCTTAATTCCAAAGGCTTTAATTCGGGTGGACATCTGGCGCAACAATAACCAGGCACCCTCCACAATTTTCTCTCGGAGACATATTTTATTTTCAATAATTGGCAAGTGATGAATAAATAGGGTCCATGGCGGCTGGGATGAAGTGGCAATATCTGAATGGCGGTGGCGATACAAAGATGTGGAATTACCTTGGAATGGGCGGTGGTGGTGCTTCTAAGTTCTAAATGCATGGCTCATGATGATGATGGTCGGTTCGTCGTGATGTGTCGGCATTGTCGTCTGATTTGACATGTGGGCTTTAAAGTTCACTTCAACCCCGTCGTCCAGAAATTTGTCCAAAAACCTCACATTTTGTTGAAGTATTTTAAGTAACTTCCTCAATTCCAAATTATTTCATATTTTGGGATTTTAATTTTGAACAACATGTTAGTAAATTTGTTTTCAAAGTTAATCTAAAAAATTTTAAATTAAAATTTTATAACATTGAAAAAAGATATCAAAATTTTATAACATTAAAAAAAGATATCAAAATTAATTTTAACTTTTATAAGATGGTGACCATTTTGTAAAATAACAAGTATAACACTCCAATAAAATAGCTTTACTATAATAGTTTTCAGCTATATAGCGCAATCGACAAAATGATAACAGTATAGGGATGTAATTCAACCGAGTCAAACTTGAATAGTACACTATTCGAATTTGATTCGAAATAAAAAACTTGAACTTGAAATCAGGTTTGGGCTCGCCGCACTCTTGAAAGTCTAGCTCGAGTTTGAGTTCGATTTTATTTTGCATTACTTGAGTTTGAGTTCGAACTCATGCTTATCAAGCCTAATCGAGTTTACTTCGAGTTCAGTCGAACTTAATCGAGTTTAATCAAACATAAAAAATATAAAATTATATTTTATATAATTTTAAATAAAGGAAAAAATAGATAGTTCATACTAATAAAAAAAAGTAAAATAAAAACATGTATACATGTCAAGTTCGATTAAGTTTGACGAGATTTCGAGTTTTATATATTAAACTCAAGGTCAACTCGTCAAGTAGTTTTAACTGTTCGAATTTGGTCAATACGAGTTCAAATTCAAATTTTAATTGAGTAAACTCGCGAGTTATTCGATTAAACTCAACTTGTTTGCACCTCTCTAACCGCGTGAGCAAATCTATCATAAAACCTTCTACATGGTCAAAAACAACGTGAAGATGACCATTTGATCACTGTCTGACTTCAAATACCAGTACAAAATACTAGGACCAGTAGATTAAGTTTCAGTTATATTGCACAATATTTGCATTAATACAATAACATGGATATTGAAATAATAACACTTAAAAACACAAAAGCAAACTCTCTATTACTCATTTACAGATGTCCCGTGACTAATCTCATCTATCTAAATCTTAATTGCAAAACACACACACACACACACACACACACACACATATATATGTCAAAGGTCAGTATTCTACACACACATGTACTTCTATATTAAAAGGATAAGAAAAGGGACGAAGCCATTAAAAACTTAAAAGAGACTAATCACAAGTGCACCGATAAATAACAGGAAATACACAGAATAGTACTGAGGTTAGGTCCCAGTGGTCACGTAGTCTAAAAAAAACATTATTGAGTGTGATGGGGGCGGCAAAAGCTTTTCGTTTAATTAATGACCCGATCACTGATCTGCGTCTCCATAAATACCCCTGCCATCTCCCAGACTCTTGTCATCAGTCATCCCAAGTCGTGTCTTGCGATACTACAATATTATAGCTTCTCCAACAATCCAACTCGTGCACGTACTTGTTTGTAGCAGCTGGTATTAGCAAAAGAGATCATCTAGGTGGGTGCAGCAAAAATGGCCAAGGATATTGAGGTTGGGGGCAGTACTCATGAACATTACGGGGCCAAGGACTACCAAGACCCGCCTCCAGCACCCCTTGTTGACCCCGAAGAACTCACCCAATGGTCCTTCTACAGAGCCATCATCGCTGAATTCATCGCCACCCTCTTGTTCCTCTACATCACGGTTTTAACGGTGATTGGTTATAAAAGCCAATCTGACACCAAGGCCAACGGAGATATATGTGGGGGTGTTGGCATCCTGGGTATTGCCTGGGCCTTCGGGGGCATGATCTTCATCCTTGTTTACTGCACCGCTGGCATTTCTGGTGCGTAGCTGAACAAAGAATATTCTACCATCCTCTTAATTTTCCTTTTTAAGTTGCAGAATTGCTATCACTACTAATTCCACACAAAAGTCAGTAGTGTAATCATTTTAAAGTAGCACTTGTACTGATATGATGGCCAAACTCGTGACTTTACTACAGGAGGGCACATTAATCCTGCTGTGACATTTGGGCTATTCTTGGGTAGGAAGGTGTCCCTGGTCAGAGCAGTCTTGTACATGGTGGCTCAGTGCCTGGGGGCCATCTGTGGCTGTGGGCTGGTTAAGGCTTTCCAAAGGGCTTACTACGTAAGGTACGGCGGTGGTGCCAATGGGCTATCCGACGGCTACAGCACTGGCACCGGATTGGGAGCTGAAATCATTGGTACATTTGTCCTGGTTTACACTGTTTTCTCCGCCACTGACCCCAAGAGAAATGCACGAGACTCTCACGTTCCTGTGAGTGGTACTCCCTATTAAATTTCAATCTTCACCCAGAAAAGAGAAGGGGGGAATTTTTATTTTTTATTTTTTATTTTTAAAAAAAAAGAAAGAATTTTTGCTCATTTTTTGATGAAGTAAGAGTATCTAACTGATCGTAATGTGCTACGTATTTTGATGAAAAGGTACTGGCACCACTCCCAATTGGATTTGCAGTATTCATGGTTCACTTGGCTACTATCCCGGTAACTGGCACTGGCATTAACCCAGCAAGAAGCTTTGGAGCTGCTGTCATATATGGAAAGGCATGGGACGATCATGTACGTGCAACTTTCGCATCCTGCATCCTAATCTTTAATGGTTCATAGCTACGGACAGGAAAAGCAATATCACAGATTGATAGTTAGCTTTGACAAAATTTTTTTTTTGGGTTTTGTTTTTAATTGCAGTGGATCTTCTGGGTTGGACCATTCATTGGTGCTGCAATTGCTGCATTTTACCACCAGTACATTCTAAGAGCAGGAGCAGTGAAAGCTCTGGGCTCATTCAAGAGCAGCACTCCCTATTAATTAATTAAGCACCGCAACTCTTGTCTGTATGCTGCATGAGCATGCAACGGAACGGAAGACTGCCCACTCTGGGCCCGGGAGGCAAAATCAAGCAGTTCTTCCATTAATAAGTTGTGTATAATGAGTTGCCTGCTTTTCTATCTCGGCAGAGGGCACTAGTTTTAGTTGTGCCTAAAGTCATCCTTGTACCGGGCCGGGCTTCTCCTTTTTTTTTTTTTTCTTTTTTGGCCTTTACCTTTCAGTGTAGTCATGAAAAATAATAAATCTGCTAGCGAAGTTATGTTTGTCTGAAATAATATTAATCTGTTATGTTCCTTTTGTTTTTTTTTTTTTTCCAATCCTCCCAACTTTTCCATTGTAAAGGTCGCACACAAGATTCGAATTCTAAACTAACAACAGAAGGCCACAGGACACATTTTTTCACCCTAAAGGTTAGGTACAAGTTCGAATTCTAAATTTGACGGGAGAAAGAACAAGCTCTCTCCTAACTACTGGATTAATTATTGGATCAACTCTAGTGATTGTTACGTTCCTTTTGTTGTTATTTAGGATTAATATCTTTTTTTTTTTTTGGGTCCTTTTGACGTTCTCAAGGTTTTTCTTTTTCTAAATTTTTGTGTCAAATTTATTAGGTTTTTTTCCTGGGACTTTTGAAGTTTCTGCTATAAGGCGCATCACGATTAATGGAATAGAAAATTTCTTTATTCAGCCCCGCCCAACTCAAGGGCGATTTTAACGTCAGTAGCAGTTTTAGTTGAGCTGGGCTTTGAGGATGGAACATGTCTAAACCACACCATAAAAAGACACCAACTAGAATCAGCCCAACAAATGTGCGCATGTATCACAATATGTTAAATGAAGCCCAACTTTTTAATTTCATGAGATGACTCCTATTAGGTTGGTTATCTTTGGGGGTCCACTCTGATACGGAATACAGAAAAGACAGCCCAAAGTCGAGAAAACGACAACGCTGGCAGTAGCAGTAGTAAGTAGCGAGCCGAAACGGAACAGAATAGAACGATTGTGACAATACAGTGCGGTGCCGGTAGAAACTAGAAAGTAAGAGACGTTCCACTACTATCTCCTCCCCGATTCTCAGATTCTACGGAATTTATCTTCAATTTTCGATCAAAACAATCCATCACCGATCACCACCAGGTACTACATCCCCATTAGTCCCCGTTGTTATTTACATCGGCATACGCTTTAGCCCCTCTCCTCTTCCTACTGTTACTGATGGTTTCATGGTTTGTTTGCTTCATTTTAAACTCTTTTCGCATTATCGCGTCGTCTTTTGTCATAACTGCCTTCGTTGGCCCCATTGCTTCACCCACCGGGCCCTGGGGTCCTTGACGAATACAGATTAATTTTACTAGTTGTCCTCGTTTGATGTTGGACATATGGGCTTACGTAGACTTCCTTAAGCCTTCTAATTTACCTTTTGATTCGTCGTGGTGGAAAAGTTTTTGGTGCCACAGAATAGGCATCATTGTCTTGAATTTACAATTTCTTTATTGAGGTATCGAGTAATTACTTTTATGCGGTTCTTCGGTTTACTTAATGCCGCCCTTGGAGTTACTATGCTGTTGGTGGAGGATTGATTGCTACTAGTGTCTTTTTAAAAAAAAAATTTTTTTTGGGGTTAGTTTAGTTGATACCAGTCTGAAACAATGCAAATTACGAGACTGCGGAAGGGGGGCTGGGGACAGGTGGGATTGGACCTTTGTTCTAAGATGAGGAACAAATACCTCGTGGCCCTAACCAAGATATGTTGATAAGTACAGCAGTTCTATTTTATTGTGAATTATTGGGGTGATATTAATCGCTTCAGGTGCTTGAGTAATTGGATTGTGGCTTTTCCAAAATGGGCTGATTAGCATTTGAAATTTCAATGTGCTCGTGGATAGTCCCTTGTCCTTGATTCAATTCTGATTAAGGGAGGCTTTTTGGTGATGAGAACTCTTCAGGAGTGGAGGGTTTGAATTGTTCTCTGTGGTGCCCATTTCTTACGTTTTCCTCCTCATAAACATCACCAAGATATTTCTTTAGTTATTTAATTCAAAGCCACCATTTTATGATTGTACGGTTCCAGTATCTGCTTTGCTTCTACGTTTTCTCTTGAGCAACTTGCTATTGTCGACTTTCAAACTTCTTCCTCGTTGCCTTTGTTGTCATCTCTTATACTGCTTTTACAGCATGCACAATGGACGCAGCCAACAGGCGCCAAATTGTTGTTCGATTACTTCTGGCTGCAGAACATGAAGCTCAGCAAATTGTGAATGCTGCCAAAACTGGTAAACCCTCTTTCACTTTGTGCTTGTGTTTTTAAGTGTGATCTGAATTTGCAGCAGATGCATGATTTTGGTGCCGTATGTCCTCCATAAAAATCTAGTGCTAGTCTTCCCAGACTGTCTGTGCTTATGACTTGAATGTGAATGATTCATAGGATCATTGAAGAGGGACAGATTGACTGTTTTGTCCATCTGATGAATAGATAACGGATAGCTTTTGATGTTTGGATTCTGCAAACTCCTTTTGATAATCATTAATTACACGAGTATGCATGTCTTCCCTGGCTTGAATGCATCTTCATTCTAAGCCATACTGATTGCGGTATCTTTTTTGAGCTGAAAATGTTGCTTAACTATGATAATGTAAGAAGGAAATATTAATTGCAGAGTGTTGGAGTTTAGAAAATGAATTTGATTACAGTAGCAAATACAATTGCCTCATGCCTAGTATGCAAATTATTGTTTCAAGACTGTACTGATAACCTCATGGAGGTCGTTGACGATCGAGGATTCTCTAAATGAAGGTTGCAATAAGCACCCCCAGCTTATGGCATTATTACTCTTAATATAGAGCTAGAAAATCTTAAATAACACAAAAATATGTAATATATTTAGCTTGTAAAATTGGTGCAGATCCTTGGTGAAAATTTCATGATGTCGAAATTAGGACCTAGTTCTCTTTTTTGGGTTCCGTGAAAACTCACGTGTCCTTTATTCCAGAGAGAGTACGCAAACTTACACAAGCCAAGGAAGAGGCTGAAAAGGAGGTAGCTGGACATCATAGAGAAATGGAGCTCGAGTTCCGAAAGAACGAGGCAGAGGTAGCTACTGTACTAAATCTTAGTCTTGAGCACCATGTGCGAGAGCTTGAATTTGACATTTGTGCATTATAATTTTGAGAGCAGCTCTGTGTTGGCTGAGATATCTGAGATCTTAATTCCTTGTTTGTGTATGTCTAACTCAGGTTTAGCATACCATGCAGTTCTGGGAGTCATGTTGGAATGCAACAATTACCTAATTTCCAAAGTTTGACATACCAGGACAGAGCCAGAATTTGTTAAAACTTATTAACAGTTTAACCTTTATTTTCCAAGAGAAAGTCCGATTTGCTCTAACATATATACTTCAGATCTGAGGAGGTGCTTTTTATAAAGACAAAGTAACCCAGAGAGTGTTTTGTGCACATTTGTTTTTAAATTATTAGTCTTAGACAACATTATTAGGTTTGGAGGCTATATCTCATACCGTAGTTTCAGTTTTGAGTATTTTTCCATGGTAATCAATGCCATTTTAGGAGAACCCATGTGATATTTTACTTTAGACAGCCTTGAGCTGCAAGAACTTTTGCCACTTATCACCTTTCTCTTCTCTTGTTACTGACATAATTATCCAATGTTTTGTTTCTATGTTTAGAATTCCGGAGAATTGAGAGCCATCATCAAGCGCCTCGAACAAGAAACAGAAGGAAAGATCAATCACCTGCAAATGGAGGCTGCGAGTGTGCGCAATGGAATTGCCTCCATGCTTTTTAAGCATGCCACAACTGTGATAACTTAAAAGACTTTAAGCTGCTCTATAGATTTGCAGTACAATGGCAATGGCCTCATGGCCCTCAACAGCATTTGACTTATTATTATTGTTATTCACTCTTTCTGGTACAATATTGTAGGGAGTGCCACACGGCTTTTATTATGGGACTTTCATTTTTGCACTTGAGATGAGATAACCTGTGATTTCTTGAAGGAGGACATTTGACACATTGTAGGCTGTCTAAGTGGTGGCTGTCTTACTGATGCTTCCCAACCAGTCTGCAATAATTGTACCACAAAATTGAGCAGAGGACATTGTCTTCAGTATCACCAATCTTCATTTCACCAGATCCGCTGTATTGCTTTGCTGTTGTTGTGTTTAGACACTAAACCCCGCAGTATAAGGAAGCTGCTCTCTCTGCAGGCATGTAACCGTAGCATCCGTAACCCCAGGAAGAATGTAAATGCGGGGTACGATTAGATCTCTCAGCCTGAATTCTTAATGGCTTTAAAATCGGGTTAACCGATCAAGTTGATTCCACTCCAAAGTCAATAAAATATTCTGCCAATGGATCTCACTATCTCGGTTACTTGGATGGTTGCTCCTTGACAGATGTTAAAAAAAAAAAGGGGTTCTTTTCCATCTTCCAACGATGACAGCCTTTAAAACAGCATCTTCACTGATTACTTGTTCCTGTTTGTCTTCTCCTGCCTACTCTGCTCTTAGAAGATGGGAGACTGCTTTGAGAATGGTTCAGTTTGCAAAAGAAATACTACCATCGGATCATCATCTAACAAAAGTTGGGGTCGGCCAGAGGTTTTTTCTTTTTTGAACTGTAACCAGTTGCGAATGCAAGTCCGCGGCCATGGAGGGTTGTAGTATCAAATGTACAAAAATCCAAACAGCAAATATCATCATGTTCCTTCTCTTTATGGACAGATCACATGCAAAGATGAGTGAGTGACGTTGAGAGCAAGTGGGACAAATCGTCCTGATTATGATATACTCCTCCATATCCAATACCCGTTACCAGTGCCACTATTGTTATTATTACTCCTATTTTTTTTTTTTCCTCCCGGCCAGCTACAAACAAATTGAAATATAAAAAGTGCATTGGTGGGGTACGAGAAATTTGGGCCCCTGTGTGAATGGTCCAACGGCAGCGCCTCTCACCAGTGAACCTTGAGATCACAAGTTCGAGTCTCCGTTCCGCTGGATTCCTCCGCGCACTTAACATGTTCGGGCCGGGTTGGGACGCCGGACCCGGATCACGGGAAATTAGTCGGGCCCCGTAAGAATTGATCCGGACACTTCTGTGTAAAAAAAAAAAAAAAAAAAGGTACGAGAAATTTGGCAGATAAAAACGTGATTTTGAATGGCCTAGCAAAAAATACGTGCTCGGACATAAAGAGTGTAATACCTGAATTAATGGATGGATGCTGGAGTAGAAGACCGTGCAGAGCATATTTGTCAAAGGGTAACATCCAAAGAAGATGTTAAAAGGGACGTTTCGGGGAACAACATCATGATGAGGCCGACGGGGAAAGAGAGAAGAGAGAAATTTCTTTAGCACAAAGATTCCAATATCCATGTACATTGAACGAACCCTCTTGATTCGGTGGTTCCCAAGATTTGAAGCCCCCACACCCATATTTGGACCGCTAATATCTAGCACACACACATGCTATGCGGCAGCGGAACAAAAAGGTAAAAGAGACCCCTGCATCCCAGCCCCTGATTTGTCTCTATTCTTCGGCCCTACCTACTTGACAAATAAATGAGTTTTTTTTTTTTTTTTTTTGATATGTATCTAAAATTTTATTGTAATTTGTCATAAAAGTTGATACCAGTAGACGGAATCAAGTTGATTGTCAGTCAAGCCCACCGTTATTAACGACTACGGGTTGGTATCAAATTTATCTTCTACTAATAATTTTAATTATAGTAAATTTTAATAGGTGATGGCATGGGCTGACCACGCTCATCGTGCTATCCCATCCTGCGCTTTTGCTAGATAGATTTGATTCAATTGACGTTGAAAAGGTGATACCAGTAACAAGGCAGGCGAGGTTTGACGCCAAGAAAAAGTGGACCATCACGTGATGCCAAATCCGGAATTTCCTGGATCCCCATTCCGACATGAAGCCTACACTGCTGGTGCTAGCTATTACTATTAAAGTAGGGGTGATTGCTTTTTTGGAGTCGTGGGTTTCTATTTCTTTAAACAGCGGAATCGAAACGAGAGCTCTTATAAGAACAGTTTTATAGTTACAATTGTGGAATCGGAATATATTAATAGTTTCCGTTTCGCTCGCGCCTGCAATCCAGTTGTTATTTTCTTCAGCATCGGTCGGGCCCGCTCTGCTGGAGCGCCGTGAAATTAGTCGGGTGTAGACCCGGATACTGACAGTGATAAAAAAAAAAAAAGGAATATATAGTTTCCATTCCGATTCATACACTTCTAGTTGCTTTTATTTATACTTAATCGCTTATGGTTTCGGAGTTGAATATAAAATAACATGTGCATTGCCACAGGGAACCCTCAAATTTGTCCTAGGTAATCTTTTTTCAATTTTGTGGGTTGTCTTTTATGCGTCCTCATGCCCATCGTTATGTCCATTTTGTGCATATACTAGAATTCTAGAAAGCTATGGGATTGGAATCATTTGGATTAGATAAATGTTTGCCAGATCCCAAATAGTATGTGATTTTGCGCAGATGCTAGTCGGTACGTACGCTGACTGGGCCCTTCCCAGTCCAACCGGCCAGGATCCAACCTCGTAACATTTGGCTCATTAACTAATTCATCACGGCCATGCTTAGTAAAGAAATTTGGGGATGCCGGAATGGGTTGGCGGTCAGCGCTAAATTGCATATTTCTTCTTTTATCGTCATTAGGTATGAATACGCTTTAAAAAAATCGGGATTCAGTATACATAAATATATATATATTTTTCTAGGCGGTTCACTAAATATATAAAAACGTTTCGCTGAGCGGTATCCGAAGGCACCTGTTGAGAGTCTCGTGTGTTAATTTTTTGATAAAAACAAAATAAAATTGAAAAAATATCTAAATATAAGAATACACTAGATATGATATGAGCGTGTATTCATATGGTAAATTTTCCGTACTAATAACAATAACATAGAGACACCCGTTAGAAAAAGAAAAAATCCATGATTGTTTTGTTACATAAATATCAAGGAGTTTAAGTCTTGTTTGGATTGCCTTTTTTTTAAAAAAAATTTTAAATATTTATGAATATTTTTTAATGTAATTTTTAATAATCTTTTTATCTCAATTACTGAGTATATAACATCATAAAAAAAAATACTACAGTAATTTTTTTTTTTTTTTTCAAAAACTCTTGAAAAGAAAAATTGCAAGTTGACAACAGTCAAATCGCAGGAAAGCGACGCTAAGTCAAGAAAGGGGCGCGGAGATAATAAATTTCCTTATTTGTCTCTGCTTAACTTTCCGGAAATACAAAGGAGGAGCAGTACTTTAATAACCAACTCAACAGTGAAATAGCTAGTTGACAACTTAACAGCCACCAACAGGCAACAGGGCCAAAGCCAAGAAACTGTAAAAATGGCGACCCCCACGTTCTTTCCTCATCAGCTCCCCATCAACTATACTACTACTTCCACCAACACTACTGACTCGGTGAAACCCCAGCTCCAGCACACACCCCAACACCAACTGCCCTTCTTCTCCTTCCGTTTCTCTCTCTCCATGACTTTTGCACTCCTCTCTACTGTTTCAAAATCCTGCATATGCGCATCAAATCATGAAAAAGCTTCCCAAATTTCTCATACCCTCCCCTCAAACCGTCGCATTCTTTTCCCTCCCATTCGTTTTACTTCTCCTTCTCGTGGATTTGGTGTCTGGGTTTGGCTCAATGGGCCCAATTTCAGCTTCCTTCGGTGACAATGGCGTCTTCTGTGCCATTGACGCCAGTGGCAAGCAAGAAGTCATTTGCTGGGGCAACAAATCCCTCTCTTCCTCGTCTGCAAATCCACCGCCCATTTATCCTGATGAAGTCCCGGCAATGGCTGCTCTCACCGGTGGCCGTGGATTTCTTTGCGGCATTTTAGCAAATAGCTCCCAGGCATACTGTTGGGACTCCACTGGCCCAATTTCTGATCTTGTTCCTGAGAGTTTCAAGCCCAATGCTTATTTTCACATTGCGGCTGGTCAGAACCATGTTTGCGCTATACGAGGGACTTACTACTCCGAAGGCGACTGGGGTACTGTTGATTGCTGGGACATTGTTCCGCAATCGAAAAATGGCCTGACCTCAAGGCCAAGTACCCTCTTTTATGACCAACATGTGAGTACACTTGCTTTCAAGAAAATTGTTTCTGGCGATGGGTTTAGTTGTGGAGTTGTTAGAGATGGTGGCCTTGTTTGCTGGGGTCCATATTCTAAGACTTTGGAAGTTTCCAGCGAACCGGGAGATCTATTTAGCATGACTTCAGGGATAGATTCCATTTGCGGCATCTCTCGAGTTTCTGGTGGAATCAAGTGTTGGGGTAATAATGATTCTTTTGGCATTCTACCAGATGGGATTCGCTTCGTTTCGGTGGCAGCTGGAGCAAAACATTTTTGTGGGATTCGGGAAGATGATCACGGAGTTGAATGCTGGGGGAACTTTAATACCTCTTTGGTTCCTAAGAGTTCTGGTTTTCTTGCCCTTGCTTCCACAGATTTTGTTACCTGTGGCATCAGGGAGGCTGATCTAGTACTTGATTGTTGGTTCGCAAATGGTCCTCCACCTTTAGATTATGATCCTCCATTGCAGTTATGCAGTCCCGGATTATGCAACCCTGCTACTTGTGGTGAAGGAAAATTTGCCTTCAACGCCAGCATTCTCAATGAGCCAGATCTGACCAACTTGTGTGTTCGGAAAGATCTTAAGATTTGTTCTCCTTGTGCGCTGAATTGTTCCGCAGGATTTTTTACTTCGAGTGCTTGTACTGAGAATGCTGACAGGGTTTGCACGGCTTGCTCCCTCTGCCAGAACAGCTCTTGCTGGGATATTTGTGGGCTCCAATCTTCGCCGGAGATGAAGCAGAAGCACCAGCATCAATTGCGTGAATTGCTGCTTATAATTGGGTCTTCTGCTTCAGGGTTCATGTTGATTTTACTTGGCTGGTACCTCTTACCCCGCGTCGCATCCGCAAAAAGAGGAGGAGGAGGAGGAGGAAAAAGGATACATTTTGCTTCCTGCATTGGCAAACCTGAGCAGGAGATTGAAATCAATGGTGATCCAAATCCTCCTTCGTGTGTGGTCCAATGTCCTGGGATTGCCCAAGTGTTCCGGCTTTCAGAACTGAAGGATGCCACCAATGGTTTCAAGGAGTTCAATGAGCTTGGTAGGGGAAACAATGGTTTTGTTTACAAAGCTGTTCTCCCTGATGGGAGGCAAGTAGCAGTAAAGAGGGCAAATGCTGCCACGATAATCCACACGAATAGCCGGGACTTTGAATTAGAGTTGGAGGTCCTTTGTAGGGTTCGCCACGTTAATATTGTGAACCTGTTGGGTTGCTGTACAGAGATGGGAGAAAGGATTCTGGTTTATGAGTTTATGCCTCATGGGACCCTTCATGACCACCTTCACGGGGGCCTTTCTCCTTTAAATTGGGCCATGAGATTGAAAATTGCAATGCAGGCTGCAAAGGGACTTGAATACCTGCACAATGAAGTTGTTCCGCCTATCGCACATCGTGATCTAAAGAGCTCAAAAATCCTTCTTGATGCTGATTGGGGAGCAAGAATCACTGATTTTGCACTTCTTACTCCAAATGATGGTGATATCAGTCAAGACATGAAAGTTGATGTTCTCAATTTTGGGATTGTGCTGTTAGAGATTCTCAGTGGGAGAAAAGCTTATGACGCCGATTGCCAGCCGCCGAGTCTAGTTGATTCCGCTTTGCCTCTAATTAGACAGGGCAAAGCTGCTGCCATCATTGACCGGTGCATAGGTTTACCAAGAAACGTTGAACCCCTACTTAAACTTGCAGATATAGCAGAGCTTGCTTTGAGGGAAGATCCGTGCAAACGGCCCAGCATGTCGGATTTGGTACTTTTGTTGGAGCATCTAGTGAAGGAGGGATTGTTATTGTAGTTTAAAGTTGGAGCTTTGATTTTATTCCATTCTTTAATCTAATTATCCAACAAACAAAGACATAAAATAGCAGATTCTGGTAAATACTGCTCTTGGGCAACTGTACATTTTCAATGAGCTTCTTGTAAATTATGTTGCTTAAATAACTTCTCTCTATCTTGTTCAAGGAGGCAGGGAATCGAAATTTTTTTTTTTTGGCGGGGGGGGGGCGGGGGGGGGGGGGGGGGTCTCTTTAATTAACTGTACCAGCCTATTTCTTGTTTACATTTTGGAGTTAACGTTGAGTTGCTATATTCTCAACAGTGTGCACTTTGGAGATAACCTTGTGTACACAAACTTTGCTCAGAACTGTGAGAAACATTTCGAACTTGTCTGGGTTTTTTGTTGCAGTCTATTCATTTGATGATAGCAACAACATAGCTATACTTTCATCCTGTGATTGTCCCAATTGGCTCATCTATAAAATCATTTTATTGTTCAAATTTTAGTGCTCCTGAGACCACTTTCTCACATTTCATCTCAAGTATTGGAAGAAGAATCTGAGGTTGCAAGGGACTATATCCAAAGTCACTTCTATGTATAAGAAGACAGCACGCTTTCCAAGTAAGAAGGAAGCAAATGTTTGAGTGTTAAAATCAAATAACTATAGAGTAAAGTAGAGGGGTTTGATGCTATGGTCTTCTACGTTCTCTTTTCTCTTTAGGGATAATTTGAGAAACCTCAGTGCCCCTCAGCTCTAATTATAGTAATTACACCTATTTTCATGTTTCTGGTAACAGAAACAGCCCAATTTGCAGATGTAAGCAAAAATATTCAACTGACTATCCTAACATGCCCGCTCTTAAACCTTCCTTCTTTTTTTTTTTTTTTATAAATAAAAAAGCCGCTTCCCATCTCCAATCATCAGTTCCAATCATCAGTTCATCACCGCCGCCACATTCAATCATTCAGTGTCCTCCACTACAGCCACTAGCTTTGCCGTTGTCTTCCCTATTATCTTCAATCATCAAAACAACACAAATGGAAAATCCTTTGACTGCATGTCCTTGTACCCATATCAAGAACCAAGTATTCTACCAAGAGATCCACCATCCATTCAATCCTACAAAAGCTCAGCCTTCATAAATTCTCACAAACACGAGACGAAGACCATTACCAACAAATTGCTCAAAAAATTTTTAAGTTAAATTATAAGAACTGCAATGAGAGACCCAACTAAACAGAAACGTCATTGTGGAAGGAAAATTGAATAACAATTCTCCATTCGCTGCTTGTTCCAAGCAAATTACAGTTATCATACGGCAACCATGGCCACCGCTCGTGCATGAAATAATTCTCCTCTAATTTCTTAGCTATAGCATAAAAGCACAAGTAAAATGCAAAAGGGAACATGAAAAAAAAAAAAAAAAAAACCAGTACCCAGAAGTTAGTTATCACTGATTGTGGTTGAACGAACGAGAAAGAAAGAAGAAATGGATGTCGAAAGAATCTGGGGCTAAGTAATGGTGAGAGAAAGATTACTGCTGGGGCAGGACAAAGGCAGTGTTCGTCTCGACTCCCCGGGGTTGGGGTTCGGCAACTTGAACGATTGCTCTTCCTTCGACAATGCATGAGAGACCCTCTGATTGAAAGTCGAAACTGCTGCAGCCTTAGCTTGGCTGAAAGTTGGAATAAGAATTCGTTGGGCTACTATATCTTTGGCAGGGGAAAGTCGCTCCTTTTACGCTCAATAGAGAGAGCACCGAGTTTGATTTTGGAAATTTGTGAACCACGACTTGAAGCGAAGGTCTGCAACCCTGAGCTCCTTGGCAAAACTTGTTCCTTTTCCTTTTTCCTCCTACAGGTTCTTTTTCAATGTAAATTTGGAACTAAAAGAAGGAAATTTTAGGAAATTCAACGAGTTCAGGGAGGTCTGTGCAATATCTCAAATTAAAGGGGATCAATCTGCAATTGCAAAAAATCTCCCTTTCTGTTAAGAAGTACTCCACTTACCAGCCGTTTGGTAAGCGGAATCACTACTATAGAATGGGTTTCAAGCTCTCAAAACCCATACATGATCTTTGGTTGGCATCTGTGACTATGAATCTATCCAAACACCCACATTTGCTTTTTCTGCTGCACAGATCATTATAACAACAGAGAGATTGGCAACATAAAAGGTTTATTATCAAACACACTCGATTTTCAGAAATAAAGGGTACATGGATATGGAGAAGGAGGGAATAATTCACGAAGTTTGTAGCCAGATTATCATGGAATCCCTTAACAAATTTTTAACTTCATGAAAATAGTACAAGTGCTGTCACTAGTGAGCTTTTGCACCACCAGGCGACATAGATACTGCATACTAGTACATGACATATATTGATTTGTTTGGATTGTATTTTTGCACGGAAAAGTTTTTATGTTTTTTTCGTGAATACATTTTTTAATCATATATATATATATAATAAATACCATGTAAATTTTTACAAAAACTCCTAAAAGTAATAATCAAAATGACTCAACAGGAGAGTTTAGACCGAGAGCCAAAATTCTTGCTTGTGAACGGTTTGAATCATGGTTCAAAGACTCGGCTGACACAAAAATGACTCGCCCGAGTGGTCATCCGAATGGGGATTCTCGATCCGATACATGGACAAGATGATTCTGAGATAATAAATCGCCGACAACTCAGCCGAGATGTTTCTGAAACGAATAGAAACGATTGAGTCGAGCCGAGCCAACTCGAATTTTTATTATTTTTACAAATTTTTTAAATTATTTTTATTTATCATTTTTTTATAATTTTTAAAATATTAAATATTTCAAAAATCTGTGTCTTGTCAAAACTGTGATCGATATGCTGAAATCAAAGCAGAACTGCCGAGCCATCGCGACTTTGAACCATGGTTTTAATCCATGAGTTACCCGTGGAAGCAGATCCTTTTGACTGCTGCTCTTTCTCCGTGAGTTACCAGTGTTTTCATTGTTACATTGTCCAACGCTCAGAGCCCAAGTCAATCCAACTTTGATTATTATGACTGGAAAACCGTTCACTTTTTATGTCTTGAGGCACTGGTGGAAAAGTCGATCAAGAATTGTCGTTACCCTGTCAAAAATACTGCTCCTTGGGCTAAAGTCCCCTGGTCGGAATCAGCCATCATGCATACATGATACATCATACATCCGCTGCTTGAGTCCATTGAATGAAGTCAGTCAGCCATAAACTGTCCAACGTTTCATTAATGACTTGTTCTGGGCGTCAGGACAGTGACGTATCCTTCCTCCACTCTGGCATGCACGTCGAGACGGTGAAATAAGGGTAAAGCCTCACAACAAGTTGAGTTTAGTTCAGTTCAATCCTTTTTTTTTTTTTTGGCAATGATAGATGCTCTATAACCTAATCTAAGGAGAAGGGGTAAGGGGAGATGGTCAACTAAGACCAGTCACATATTGTGGCAAGATTGAGGGAGGCGGGGGTAAAATCTCTGACGTCCAACATCATCAAAGAGGGTGATGACCACTGGACCAAATGGCCAGTGGCTTAGTTCAGTTCAATCCGATCCGTATAATTTTTACTACATTTGATGTAGATTGATATAATTTTGATATGATCGTTAAATGAGTTGTATAAATTGACAAATTCATGTTTATATGCAAACTGTACGGGTTTACACCAAGTTTTGATCTGGACAGAACTCCGTGATCCATTAAAGAGTCAAACCAAACACAGTTTAGCCGTCGAATAAAGGTACCCAACACTACAGGGAGGAAGCATGGGCGGAATACGTTGATGTGATTCCGGCGGCTCCCTCAGCTCGCCTCCTTTGAATGCGGATATTTCGTCCGCCTACCTTATTTATCAACCGACAACAATCCAACTAATGTCTCTGCGTTCTAACAACTCGAAAGAAAATTTTATCCAAATCAATTGAATAATTGAATATCCAAATTATCCTGGCTGCTTATGTTACCAAACATTAGTGAAGAAGATAGAAAAAGGTTATACAGGGCAATTTGAAATATTCAGTTAGGGGGTTGAGTTAGATATTGAGGTAAGAGAAATTATAAATAGAAAATTCTAAATTCAAGATCTCCCATTTATCCAAAAAGAAAAAACTAGTGTATAGTTATTTTTGTTAACTTCAGAACAATTTAAGATATTTTTGCCAACAAATAATTTTTTCTCCTTTTCTTTCTTCAGCTGTGTTGATGAGAGAATCATTAGAAAAAACAGAAAGAGGTTGCTATTATTATTTAAAATGAGAATTGACATTTGTCTCCTTGATAATTTGGTGATTGTTCAAGTGATTTTAGAAGTTCGAATTATGCCGTATATTAGAATGCCAGTAGGATAGTAGACTTTCCCACGGATGGCGGTGGCTCTTTAAGGGCTTCGTTCTCCAAATCAATTTAATTGGCTGAAAAACAAGGTAAATTCTATAAATACGAGGCTTTTTGCTTTCGCTCACTACACGATCAATATATATATATATATATTTTTTTTGTTGATAAAAATCAATTTTCATCAATAGATTGTTGAAATTTATCCAACAAGATATGATTTACATCGTTGCACTAATAGTAGGTTAAACATGCATTAGAAATTATAGATTTACAAATTGACAGATATATAGATTTGAAAAATTATGAACAGATCAAAAAAAATACAACAAATTTTAAAATTATCATCTAATAAATCACTGTATCTCCCTTCTTTGCATGCTCCAAGTACCAGATCTGCTAATCAACATTAATGATAATAAGATCCGTCGAAATAGATTTAAGGTTCAAAAAATTTCATATCTGAAATAAATTCAAATATAACAATAAAATAAGGAAAAAAATACAAAAATCTCCATAGAAATTCTTAGAAAAATAGAAAATTCTCATAAGGAATTCCTAGAAAAAACAAAAAAAAAATTCACTAAGAAAATTTAGGAGAAACTTTATTTAAAAAATAAAACAAAACGAAATTTATGAGAGGGAGGGAAAAGGCTTTTGAAAAGAGCAAAAGAAAAAGATAGAAGTTGGAGTACAGGAAAAATAGAGAGACTACAAGGTCAATATAGTACCAATTTTTTATTATAGGAATAATTTGTATAGAAGAGATGCCTCTCAGACCATAAGTTGCTCATAAAAGTTGTTGTAGATCAAACACCAACACAATTCTCGTATCGAGAGATGCCTCTGAAATTATAAGTCACTCATAAAAGGTTGTTATAGATTAAACAGTAATATAATTCTCACTAGTGAAATTCGAACAAACGATTTTTTATGAAAAAATGATAATTCCTTATCAATTGAGCCAACTTGTATTGGCATAACAACTATTGTTAAAGGTCCATTACTCTAGCGCATTCCCTCGACAATGTTGAATGTAGCAGTATATACCAAGGCTATTGCACGTTTTTATACAATCTCATCAATCCAGTTGATACGTCTGAACTTTGTACATTAACAACTACCCCCAAAAAAAAAAAAAAAAAAAAAAACTGCTTTTAGGCAATCGCATGATTGCAACTTTACTTTACAACTCCCCAGCTCTTTACATGAGCGTCCTCTGCGCTCCAGTCTACGTCGCTGAACTTGCATTGGCACTGTCGCCGGAGAAAAAGCTTTGCGAGGATTGCTGCTTCCGGTCTATTTTCACATCCATTAGATCAGCAAGTAGCCCGGGTTTTGATATCTCCGTGTCTCCAATGCCAATCTCATTAGTCAACATCTTGACGGCTGTAGACATCTTAGGCCGGAGTTTGGTGGTCTCTTGCACGCACATCAATCCAACCTTGAAGAGCCTAACCGCTTCTTCTTCTGGAAAATTTCCATTTAACACTGGATCCACCATCTGCCGAAGATTGTTAGTCTTGTACATTTCCCAGACCTGCACCACCACCCGCATTCATCGTGTCTCATCAGAAAAAAATTTATAATCTCATGTTACAGAGGCTCAACCAGTATTCTTCAATCTAGTACTACAACTTTAGGAGCTAATACTCTAGTTGTTTTCCTCACCTTGTCGACAAGGAAATACTCTCCTCCACGTTCTAAGTCATAACCGACAACTGGACCACCGGTCAGAATCTCCAATAATAGTACTCCGAAGCTGTAAACGTCCGATTTTCGCGTCAAATGTCCACTAATGGCATACTCCGGGGAAAGATAACCTCTTTTGAGAGAAAAAGAAAAATACCCATCAACAAGAAGCAGCAGCACCCAGAAAAAAGATTTAAAGGAAACAAAAGAAAGCAAGAAAAATGATCACCAAGATTGGACATTCATTCCTTTTTTAAGCGAGCTAACTTTTCTAATGTGCCAAAATTTAAGTAGTGAGGGACACGATCCCACTTACAATGTCCCTGCAACGCGAGTACTAATGTAAGATGCATCATCCCTGAATAGCTTGGCCAAACCAAAGTCACCGAGTTTCGGGGTAAAATGCAGATCGAGAAGTATATTGCTGGGTTTTATATCTCGGTGCACGATATGAGGAGTGACTTGTTCGTGCAGATATACAAGTCCTCTAGCCACCCCAATTGAAATGTCTCTCCTCAATTTCCAACTGAATTTCATCCTGTTATGCTCTTCACCTGTCAATCGACAATTGGGAATTGCATCAGGCGTAAAAGAATTGGGAATTGAATTGTTCAGGCGAATCCAGAACAAGTACAACTGGCTACAACATCAGTGTGTATGCATACTAGCAGTTGAAATCAGACAAAGAAGTAAAGATTACCAAGAAAGGTGTAGGCGAGGCTATTATTCTCCATATAATTGTAGACCAGGAGTCTCTTAGCGCCATCTACGCAGCATCCTCGGAGACTAACCAGATTCTCATGCTTAATGCCAGATAGAGCAGCAATCTCAGATATGAACTCCCTCTCGCCCCTCATGGATTCTAGCTCAACTGAAAGAATTTTCACAGCCACTAGACTCCCATCTTGCAGCATCCCCTTTTAATTTATATTGATCATTCGTCGAATCACAACCACAATATTAGAACCAGCTAGCAAAAAATGTATATCACCGTATTCAGTTGGTCGCTTAATTACTATAACAAATAGCCAGTAATTACCTTGTAAACAGAACCAAAGCCTCCCTCTCCAATCCGGTTGGATGATCTGAACCCCTGAGTCGCAGCTTTCAATGCGTCGTAAGAATACACAGGAAAATGCTCAACCCTTTGACCACCTGCTCTGAGATTCAAAATATAATTAAGCGTCTTATCTCTTCATCAGACGTCATACATCTACAAGCAGTATTCATATAGTATTGTACTGCTACCCTTATTAACCTACTCAAACATGCTATTAAATGAATATCGAGATAAGTAATAAGGGTTTTAAAATTCTTTACCAGGTCGTCTTAAATCACGGCCGTAGCCATCTCCGTCGTCGTCCACCTGGGAATTATTTTGAGCTATGGAGCAGAAACAGTTGACAAACGGTAAAGAAAACTTCATTTTCTTCTCTCCTTTTTTCAAAATAAAAAAAAAAAAATTAGTGTCGTTATTGTATTGTAGTTGAATCTCAGGAAGGACTATATATGTTCTTTCACTCGTCTCCGGCGACCATTATCGACTTTGCTTATGGCTACTTAAGAACTACTACAATTACTTACTTATAAAAGTTGGAAGTTTCTACATAGCAGTGATGGGAAAGGGCATGATTACGATAAATGGAAACGTAAGGAAGCAGGAAGAGTTGGGAAAGAGGAACGCAGACAATTGAGGTTTAAGGAGAAGAGACAAAATGGGGCAGAAACGGTGACAGAACAAAAATAAAAATACGAAAAACCGCCACGCTAATATATGTAGCCGAAGCCCCAAATCTTATTATTGACTTTGACTAATTCAGAAATTGGGATTTCCTGTTCCCTCCAAACCACCAAGAAAGGGGGTTAAAAAAAAAAAGCCAGGAAACTAGTGTAGTGGTGTTTTCATTTTGTCCAATATGTATGTACACACTTGAAATAGAATGCAGCATTGCAAATTCATTGAACTTTGAAGTGATCCAAATTGCAGCGCATGAGCTGCACCTTGCACAAATACAATCACACAACTTGTGTACGGACGGATACAACTTTTCAGCATTAAGTGAGTAATTATACAGAAATTCGTTCAAAATGTCCATAACGTTTTGGAAAAAAAATTTTTTGTCCATTACTTTTAAAAGTATAATTTTACGTACCTTACAAATTCACATTAGTCAAATTTGATCTCTACACAAGTTTTCCAGTCATTTTTTGAGGGGCAAAATTATCAAATTATATTTCACATAATTTGATCCATAGTCTCCCTTTTTTTTCACAAAATGATTTTTTTTTATTTCTCATTGATCATGTGCACGAGTAGGTTTGTTATGTTATTTGTATTATTCAGATGAAATCAACTAGTTGTATACACGAGTTAAAAAAGAGTTATTCGTACATATGATCAATAATAGATAACAAAATTTATTTTGTGAAATATGAGGGACGAAAAATTCATTTTGTAAAATGTGAAAGATAAAAAAATTTATTTTATGAAATGCAAGGGACTATGAATCGGATTATATGAAATTTGATTTGATAATTTTACCCCTAAAAAATGATCACGTGCACGGTACGTGATGGATTCCTATAAAAAACTAGTCAAAAATTTCAGTAAGGATAAAATTTGATCAATGTAAATTTGGAAGAGATGCAAAATTATACTTTTAAAAGTGAGAGATGAAAAAAAATTATTTTACAAAATGTGAGAGATGTTTTGAACGATTTTTCCTACTTTATATAAATAAAGACTAATTATTTTTGCTAAATTCAATAACGTTCGACCACAAATTGTCTAGCAAAAGTCTAAAGTCGATCCTCAAATTAGAGCATTTTTCTTCGTGCCTGGTATGAAACTCACAATTGATTTTCATATCTTGAGGTTGTCATCATGTGATCAAAATTGAATAACCGAGTTAATATAAAGATTCAAAAGAAAAAAAGAGGGGGGGGGGGGGAATGTGAATCGTTGCGATTTAGTACAATTTTGATGGTCACACGTGCTCCAAGATGAATTGGCAGTTCGAAAGACCCACAGAAATAAAGAGTAATGACGTGCTATTTTGCTGGGATGGGAAGGGAAGGCGGCTGAGGCGCAGTATAGCAGTCCACTCTTTGCTGAGCTCAGAAAGAATAAGACGCCTTTAATTTTCTTAATCTTTTAGGTCCTTTTTTCTTCAATATTTGATAAAAAACAATAAATCCTTCAGACAGTAGTGTAAGTTCACCAGAAAAGTTGTTGTATCAAAAAGGCAAAAATTATTAAAACTCCTACTCAAAGAAAAGCAAAATTATTAAAATCATCAAAAAAAAAAAGAAAAAAAAATGTATTCGATTCGATTTGACTTTTGGGCGGTGCATAATGTACGTTAGCTAGGCTATAAGTATTTTGACTCCACGGTGGCAAAAAAAATATACATATATATTTTTTGGGACAAACACTCAGGCCGAGCAGTTTTAGAACTCGGTTGGAATCATCTTTTTTGGGAAATTTTGTAAAAAAAATTAAGGGAATTGATGTTTGTGATCCTATAGGAAGGTTATTGAAAATTGTATTTATTAAAAAAAAGTAAAAAGGTGATTTTTTTTTTTAAACTTCATTTATGGTTGTAGGCTTGTAGCCTCCAGGTAGCAACCGAGTTAGATGCTTCTGCAACGAAGGCAATTTGCAGTCTTTATCTTACGTGGAAGTGTGACACTACCCCCTGCAGTCTTTATCTTTCGGGGCCCATTATTTCAGCATCGGCCGCCTGCTTGTACGGAAGTTGGACTAACAAATTTACAAGATATATGTGATTAAAAGATAAAAAGATGATTGGGAATATAAAAGGGAGTAACAAAAATAAATTAAAATTTGAAGATTTAGAAGTAAATTTGAGCACGGTTTAAAATAATTACTGTAACACAGTTTTGAAGATTTAGAAGTAAATTTGAGCAATTTCATTGTTATTCAAAAATAATTTTAACCTGACATCAATAAGGGTTCAAGTCTAAAATAACGAGAAACAAGAAGTAGTAACTGGCAATTAGCTATTCTATTTCTGGATTTCATTGTCAATTTGGTAATCTTCAAGGAGAGGTGTTATTGGATATACGAGTAATTGAAATTGAAATTGCTCCTTTCTTTATGGACTGAAAACTTTTGTTCTTAAAGTAACGAGTTTGATTTTCCTTGATTGGGGCTTTCAATCTATGTTTTAGTATCATATTCTTTGTGGAATTAGGCATGTAACCAACATGTGCTAATATTTGTGCGTTTTTTTATGCTCATCTCGAAAGTTGGAGACTAAAAAAGGACAAACAAAAAACACGAGGGACTATTGGTGTAATTTTACCTCCAACAAACCGTGCAGGAGGTTATGATCCGTCGTGCAACGGGGAAGGTAAGTTTGATTGGTCTGACCAAAATTCCTTGTCGGCCGTGTGCAGGTTGAGTTGCTTATTTCGTCAAACTGATCTTGAATCAATTCAAACGGGTCAAAATGAAGAGGAAAAGAAAATAGTCCAACAACTTATCCTTAAGTTTTTTGTTTTGTACCTAAACTATTATTCCACTGGAACCTGATTCGACAATTGAAATTAGGAAAAATACCCAAACAGGGGCTCAGAAATTTAAGTGCCCAAACTGTGTTTAGAAGTCATAGAAATATCAAATACGAAAAGAAAGAAGAAAGCCGCAAAGGGCAGAGTTCGTTTATAAAACCAGACAATCACGATCGGTGAATCTTCACCGGCGACAAGGGAGACGTGGCCGGAACTCACCTATGATCCTAATTTCTCAGAAACGCTACCTGCAAGCACCCTCGAGTCAAAAGAAGCAATGCAAACAAATAATCATCGGAGTTGAACAGTTCAAATATATGCATGCGTTTCCAAGGGGGTTTGTAGTGCGTAGAACTGACGAAAATTGGACAAAGGTAACACGAAAGAATAAAGATTACCTACCATGAATTCTGGAAGGAGAGGGAGCGGGGTTTCTGGGCAACATTATAGAGGAGAAGAGAAGAAGAGATGACTGCGTAATATTTAATTGATGACCGGACAAGAGAGGAAAGCCAATCGCTATGAGTGAGACTTTGACCAGAGAGGGAAAAGAGAGTATATGCTTGGAAGATTATCTTCCATTCCACCTGCTTTTTTGACCCCTTTGCTTGCCGAGTTGCTGTGATGCAAAGCAGAGGGATTAAAGATTGCATGTCGATTGATAATTAAGAAAGAGATGAATTTATAAAGTAAGAGTCACATCCCATATGAGGAGGCATCTTTAATCTTAATTAATTTGATGGATAAAAACTTGAAACCCAATTGGTTAAAAGTCAAAAAGCAGGACAAAATAAATCTAGACAATTCATATATTTTGAAACGTCAACTGCGAGAATTGGAAAACGTTTGATTTCTTTTTTCCGAAAGAAATCTTCCCGCAGCCCCTCAAGTGCCAAATGGTGCCAAAAGCCAAGATCTGTCACTGTCTTGCCATGTGTATGTATCCGGCGTGCAGGGGGTTAGACAATTACGCAACACCAATGTGAACCTGGGATGTGAATGTGAACCGGAAAAGCTATTGGTTCATACTTCGACTCGATTCGATCCTGGTTTGAAGATTTAGTTATTTTTTTTATTTTAATATTAAAAATTTTGAATAAAACTGAAATCTTTGTTTTAGAAGATAAAAAATTAATAAAAATCGATTGAACTTCTCAATTTTTACCGATTCAATTGGTTTGACTGGATTTGATCGGCCCAATTGAGCTTTTGAGTTAATCATTGAATCGGATTGAAGATACGACCAATTTACGGTTCAATCGATCAAATCAGCCGCACCGATTCGATTTTCAAAACATTGCAGAAAGAGATGGATTTGGTTTCTCGCTGTAAACCGTTCAAGTATTGAGGGGAATGAATGATACAGTCTCGTCCGATTGCAACAGATTAAGAAAGTTCGTTCTTTCCCCTTATTTTGCAAGACCTAATTTTGGCTTGTATTTTTTTTCACCAAATATGTGGCTTTGATGTAACCCACCAATATTCAAATTTAAAATCGCTCGAGTTTTTCTTTTCCTGATTAAATTCAAGGTGAAAGTCAAAGTCATTCTCGAATATGATTGATTAGACTAGCTTTTTTAATAACTAAGTCATAAAATGGTTGACATTCTTTGCAAATTTTTACGGTCTACGGTTGAATTGTGAATATTGAGGAAGCTGCTATTTTGTTAATAACCAAATATTAAAATTGTTTTTGGGTCCATTTTATCTCAATAAAAAAAAATTTTCAATTGAAAGCACAAGCATGCGTCCTTCTCTACTTCCAAGAAACATTTTTTAACCATTCCGAGTTTCTTTTAACATGCAACTTTAATTACTCATTAATTAGTAAACTAGCATTATTTGGTCCGTCACTTGATCATTTATGTTGGTTGATTTTAAATATGATCTTATGAATACTGGAGTTCTTAGCTTTGAATTGCGGACTTTCATGTTCGAAACTTCTCATGTCTCAGTGGAAATCTTTTTTTCAACAATTCATACAATGTGCACACGATGCACTTAGTCAAGATTATGATGCCATAGAATGGGATACAGCAACCCCCGTTTTTACTCAGCATGGAACAGGGTCCAGATTACAAATCATAATTTGGTCAAAGGAGATATGTGGAAATAAGCAGACTTTGTTGCAAGGATTAGTAGCCTCTTTCTGTATGGTCAAAGTGTTACTTTTATGGCTTATATATACAAATATTTGAGAATCAATTGATCACTTTCATTATTGCTTTTGCTTAAAAGCAATCATTTGAATCGAACGGACATCATTCAATATCTCATGCTCACCCCTTCCACCTTCAATTCCTAGGAGATATTTAAAAAAAAAAACCATTTTATATATTGCTAATTAAGATACACAACTGAGTCTTAAATGTATGACACAAAAATACTACTACGATAGGTGAAAAGTCTAGCTACATTGTGGGATTTGGTCAGGTTGATAGGAAGGAAAATCAGCCAACAGCCAGGCTGTTTGTACTACCAAGACATTCAAATTTTGGTGGAGATAGAAGGTCAAGAGTTGAATCTTGTTTTGCACCTTGTTATTTAATTGTGGCTTCCTCCGGATCCTCCTTTTCTCTTCTTGAGAATTAATTTAAAGTAGACTATACAAATGTGATCGTCGTGTAAAAAAAAAAAATAGGAAGGAAAATCCACTGTTGAGTCCAAGCCGCCAAAAAAATAATAAAAGACTTAGTAGTAATGCGTATTGGAGTGGGAGATGTACAAGGGCACGATCCTATTAGTATTATTAAAACATAGTAAATGGCACTGAGTCGGTCCTCCTTTTTGTATTGCATTTGAGTTGACCATACAGGTTATGGAGTATGGTAGGGCGGGTTTATTTACGATTGTGTGAATAGTATTTATACTTAGTACATGTGGTCCCATCACTCCCAACTGACTTCTCTGCTCTAAGAATGAGTGATGACGACCAAATTATTCTTTGACTGGTGATTCAATTCACTTCAGTTCTTCAATGACTTGCGACCAATTGAATTTTAGCAAAATTACCTCCTCTCGGGGGCTTTTTTTTTTTTTTTTTTTTTGACCTTTTACCATCGAGAGCACGGCAAGATTTGACCAACTCAACTCAATATAGGAACTGTAAAAATGTTGAACGGAGCACTTGTCTACACGATTTGTCAAATCATCAAATACTAATCGCGGTAAGAAACTTGTTAGAAAAGATTTAGACCTCATTTGGGGTGACGTTGATTTATAAAGATACACTTCCGACATAAGTACTTTTAAATTATCAAAAGCTAGACCCTTCAAATTACAAAAAATTAGCTACAAAATACTCTAAAAATACTTTTAGCGAGCGTTTAAAAGCGCATTTCCTATAAATGTACCGCAAGCTCAAATGAGGCCTTACGTGCATATTGTCCTTGCAATTAATTTAGTTTATAATAATATATTAGCAGAGAGAAATTTCAGCAGATCGCAGTTAAAATGTACATATCAGCAGCAGAAGGAAATTGAATTGATCATTTAACTTGCAAACAAATACTCGAGAGACAATAACAGAGGGAATTTAGATGGGCTGATGGAGCAAACCAGTTGGCACAATCCAATCATGTGACCACGTCCATTGAGGAAACCTACCCTGATTTTGTGGCCCAAAATTGTATCCTAATACTGTAACAAAATAAAGGATCCAACTCAATTCAAATGAGCGTAATCAGGGATTCCCCTCGCTTTCCTGATCGACCATTTAATTTACGAATTTATACATTGACGTAAACGCCCTGTCTCAAAAGAATTAAACTACGCATGCATTTTTTACCACCAATTAATTACCCCTTTTTGGTCATCTTGCCATAATATTAAATTTTAAAAGTAACACTCGACTTGTCAATAAGACCTTAACCCAATAACATTAATGACTAACCTATGAATGGTCGGAACATAGTTAATTTATTTTGAACTCAACTTTTACACAAATCTAACCAGCAACGATTACAAGTTAAACAAGGATAGCATTATGGGGTTAGATTTATTATCATTTGGATACTCTTATCAGTCCAGTCCACTCAAGTCCTTTATCGACAAGCCTCGTGCCTAAAATATTGAAGTGGAAAATTAGCTGACCCAAATACCGAAAATGGTTGTTCCAGTGCAAACTACTACTCCCTCCGTTCCACTTTAATAGTTTTGTATTCTTTTTTTATCTGTCCCAAATTGTAGTCCACTTTCCAATTGAAGAATGTAGTTGTGTTTTAATTTTCCTAAAATACCCTTATTCAATGTAAATAGTTATTACTATAAACCTACCCCATTTAATGAGAGTTGATTCTTTGTTTACCATCAATTTAAATTCCCATAAAATTGTACCATGTTTAATGTAAGGATATTTTAGGAAAATAGCAATCTAAATTTACTTTTCTAACAAAATTAACAACTTTTTTTTAAACTGTGTGAAAAAAGAAATAGGACTATTAAAGTAATTGCTATTGTCCAAAAAAAAAATAAAAACAAAAACAGCTCCCATGTCGAAGGAAAATATCCACACGCTTATGCCTATGCCTACGGATAGACACAAATTATCTAAAATTAATAACCATTTTTTCATTTTGTTTGTATAGTGTAATGTCAGGTGTTGTATAGAACAGCATTTTCTTTATTTTTAATCATATTTATGTTAAGATAATCTGTTGTCCGGCTCAAATAAGATGATTTCTTACTGCGCATTAGTGGGATCCACTATTTATTTGTTGGCTAAAGTAAAATTTTTTTTTTTTTTATCAGCAACGATACATTTGTATAACCTAATCTATTATAATCTAAGGGAGCCTAAGGAGACTGTTGTAGGAGTTAATGAGTGTACAGATTCAACTAGATCAAGAAAATATTATGGCATAATATTTAAATTTTTTTCGCCACCTACAGGTAAAGTAAAGCTAATCGATGCTGCCCAAATTAAAAAAGTGCTCCAGCGCAACATGAAGGGCTCTGCGTTCACGGAACTTGAGTGAGTGGATGATCTTCCACTCAGGTCGTCGTTTTATGTTATTTCTTTTGCATTATTCATTAGTCTCTAGCAAGATCTTACTTCCTGTTCGTCGATGCATTTCATCTGGACAAAAGACAGCCGCGTTCGTAAGAGGAGGACTTTGTTTCTCCACCTTTTTAGGCAACAACTTTATTTAAGTTTTATTTAAAGAGAAAAAGGAAATTAATAGGGTTAAAAACAAAAAAAAGCCCCCATGATATACAATTTAACGAAATTAATAGGGTTAAGTTTAATGAATTCTATTAGTTTATAATTTAATTTAAAATATGAGATATCATTTTATATATTTTAAAATTACGGAAAACTTTTTTATATATTAGGTATATCATTGGCAATCTTTTTTATTTTTAATCCAAATTAATATGCGAGTTCTATTTTATATGTGCCAATAATCATAATGTCCAGAGACGCAGAAACGGAATCTTTCCGATAAAGGCGGGGAAGTAGCCATTAACGTGAAAGAGATGTTTGTAAATCATCATCATTTGTTTACGGCAAAGGAAAAAAAAAAAAAAAGTTACCTAGGGTCGGGTGCTTTTGATCAATTGACTGTCGAGTTTTGTGCAAATAAATG